GTAACAATTTAATAGTGTTTTTAAGTTCTTTAATAGTTAGTGTAAATAAATAGTTTTGTCGTAATCAGTCTAAAAATTTAATTTTGTTAAACCCACGAACATTACAATAAGTGAATTAACTGTGAATTGAAATTAAAAAAAAAAAACTAAAAAAACAAAACATTTAGAGGTCTAGGTCTTAATTATTTCTGCAACACCTTTTTCGAATCGTAACTATTTAAAAATTCATTTTATGGGCCTCGGATCTTGGACTCTAGACAAACTACCGTCAAATTGGTTTTTACGAGAAGACATATATTTTTAAAAGAATAAGTATATATTGAATCCTCTTGATTTCCTTCAAGTGCTCTAATTTTTTAAAAATCGGCAAATGATGTTTTTTAAGTTTATTAGAGCGTGACACAATAAAAATAATATTAGCCGGCTTCTTAATCCGTTTTTAAAATGTAAAAAAAAAATAACATGAAAAAAGGTTACAAATGTTTTTGAAATTCACACAGAATTTAGAAATGTTCTTCTATTCATTTTCATAATTCTCTTAGGCTACGGATTAACAACGAATTTTATATACTTTATACACTTAAATACTAACCAAATAGGATTAAAATACTGACCAATAAAATGAATGTATTTATACAACTCACCGATGATGGGTCTTCCAATGGCGTTTCGATCTCTGCTTGCCTCAGAAAAACATTCCCTCTGCAGGCTCGCCAAAGCATCCTTTCAAAGGGCGGTATCCTTTCGCGAAGAATAACTCCAGCAACAAAGCTAAAACGTTAATAAATCTCCACCTCCATTCAATAAGAAACCTATTGATGTAATTAAAAATGTATATCTTATAAATGACGACGAGAGCTTGTCATTAAATACCTTCAAAAATTAACAAACGTGAAGCGTTTAAATTTGTAAGATATGATTGATAAAAAACTATACAAAATTAAAATATTTTTCTATTATACTCTACAATTTGTCAGGAAAATTTTATTGTACGGTTATTAGTAACTAATTACCAAGTTTTTAAAAATTCATTGATTTAAAACTGTCATATTCCTACCAAGTTTCTAAATCTGATACTGTCTCTTCATGTTTATATATACGTATCTTCTGTTATCCTAATTAAATCCTTTTTTAATGAAATAAATAGGTACATTATATTGTATAAATAAACTAAATAAATGTTAACACTTCAGTAGTATAGAGTGATCAATCTGATAGGTATCTACCCCGGGTAGAAACCTACCTCTCTGATACACTTCATCAATAAGTGATTAATCGCAAACTTAGGGGCTTCATTAAAGTAAGGCGATAGCCTGTTAGATCATTTAATTCGTGATATATTTTGTCGTATAGGTATTAAACTGTCAAAGCATTGCTAATTTGTATCATTTATATTTGTATATCTGTTAAATAATATTATTTCCACACTGCGAATTCATCTACACAGTAGTGATGGGTCGTAACATGTTTTCGGCGTAACGTAACGTAACTAGTTTCTTGAGAAAACGTAACCTGTTTCATAACTACGTATTTTTGTAACTAGTTACATTTATAGATTTGTACTATAGTGTAACTTGGAAACTGTTAAATTGTCCTATATCTTTCCTCACTGTCGTATCTTTACAATACAGGTCATTTCACGATGGTACGGTCACAATTCCTAGAAAGTAGGTTTATGGCATTACTTAGCAAACAAACCCATGTATTTACCATCGACGATTTGATATTTTACACTTTTACAGAAAGATATTTTTGCATTTGGTAACTGTTGTATAAATCTAAGTTAAAAATAAACATCGTACCCTCGGAAAATTATCTCCTAGAAAGCTTCAACAACTTTGCTACACAATTACAAAAATTTTAAATATTGTAATAGTTGTTTGCTACTAAGTTCTTCTCAAGATCTGATCTGGAATTCATAGACTTTCTTTCATGACTAAAAATATAAGAGGCCACAATAAATAATCTTTTAAAATAGTTTTTCTCTGTATGTATGATTTTGATCTGTTCAAATATTATTTACTCAAAATCATAACTCCGAAGAACGAAGACGGAGATATGACAAAAGAAATACGTGTCCTTCGAATAACAAAATAGGTATAATACCAGGCATCACGTTATTGTTACCCATGGGTACCAACTTTAACGTACAGTAAGCTATTTACAACGTTAAAACCGAAGATACTAAACTGCTTACTCAAAGTAACCGATAACGAAAATAACCATAACCGTAACCGCTTGTCGTACACAGTCGAAACAGGTTATACGATTATTTAGCTAGTACGCAGTTTCGGAAACTACTTACGGTACATAACGCTCAACCCTACTACGCAGGGAGGAAATAACAAAACTGCTGTTGTAGGTACCTACAGCGTATACTGCAAGTAGCAAAAGGTATGGTATAAATATAAATCATCGACGTTTACTAATGGACATGCCTTAGCGGTCAGAATTGTGGTACAACACGAGAAAGAGATGGAACGAAGTTTCGGATAATATCCACCTCTCTCACGCTAGTGCGTAAGCGTGTCATGAAAGAAATAGCATTAGTTCGAAACTGGTTCGAAACCATACGCCATCTTCCTCACTTTTCGAGCCAAGAAATTATTACAATGACATACGGCTAAGGCACGTCCATTAATATATGTCTATGGTATGATTGCAGCAGTTGTTGCGGGATTAAAGTTTGCCGAGTTAGAAAATTTAATATTTTTAGTGACTAGAGTGGTCAGTAACAGTCCAGTGTACCAAAACTCAACTATTTACGTAGTTCAAAGTAATTTTGTCCTTGTTTATTTTTCTATCCTATTCTAATAACTTTTGGCGCTTTATTTGAAATTTACCCTGTTGCTACTGTGGCGTCACTCTAACTTAACGCAGTTTCACGGGCACTTTTTCACAATAGAAATAGTACTCCTCACCTCTACCCTCCATACATTGTTACACAATATAATACTTATTTTATGTTCAATATTCACGGGATTACAAATAAAATTGCAAGGAATAGTACCACTTAATTCTCTTACTAATTTAGATTACAAAGATTTGACCTTAGGGGATTATGTAAACAAACAAATATATTCCTTATTTCATACTTTCTCCGGCACCCCCGCAATATATGTATTTGTGTTTTATTGTCAATATCTTTTTTATATTTGATATTTCTTACTACGAACAATTTTTATTTGTTGTAATAACAGAAAATTTCTTGAAACATTGATAAATTGTGAAAGCAAGTAAAAAATAAGAAGGGTAAAAATATTGAACAACATTAATGACTCTACTTATACGATACGTACCTACTTTTGATTAACATTATTCAACTAAATAGTGAAAGCCAAAAAAAATACAATTATTATATTCATATAGCAATTCTCAAATATGGCAAAAATTTTACGACCGCGTTGTTCTGTAGTAGATATTAACATTTAGGCAGATTGTAATGATTGTGAATCAGAAGCATAAGGATATTGAGTGCGATACACATTGGGGTTTGCTTATAGGAGCTACTGAACACAACTTTTTCTACATAAAGCACTAAATTAGTAAAATATCTTCCCGTAATCATTGGTTTACATTTTGATCTTATTGACCACTTTGAATCTGTGCAATTTATGCGATTAACTGTAGATAAGTTTAAGCTCATTTATTACATAATACATAGTATAAGTATGTAAACCAGTAGTGTACGACAATCTGGCGTTGAAAATACTAGCATTCTAAGCGACCGAAATACTTGTCCACGTTTTATCGAAGTGTTGTGTTATTTGGTTTATTTATTTACTACAATGCAGTCTCCTTTTATATTTTTATTAAAGATAAGGGATATATCATGTATCATCCACATAATACTAATCATATTAACATAATAAGAAACCCTAGAATGAATACAAAGAAATTACAGTAGTGGATACAACTGACTGAAACTGAGAAGAGGGACTAGTTTCGAATTCCAATCTAAACGAAGTGAAGTAGGAACTCTACAAAGAGCTACGAGATGGTACTGTAATACTGGATGGAGAGTTCTTCTAACTTACTAATACGACGATTGCACACTTGGCGGATTTTTCGAAGCAGAGAAATTACCGCATGGCGACCCTATGTACCTCAACTGATTAACTAGTTCCTATACAGTTGTAAGGAATCTTAACTGGAAGGAATTGGGTGGGGTAATTAACCGAGCGGCATAGCCTAGAGGTTTAGACCATTGCTTAGCATTCGAGAGGACGCCGGTTCAATTCCGGGTCTGTCTGCCTTGGTCCAAGTTTTTCTGTAGTTTCCTTGGATCACTTAGGCAAATGCTGGGGCACTAATATTCCACAGATAATCTTTCATTCTCTTCTGTCTTCATTTCGTCCGTCTCATCTTTCTCACCCGTACCACCACCCACCCATTCCCACGATTCCTGAGAGTAGGCTGAAGAGGGCCTTCCGCCCTATCTTCCGGCGTAGTCCGAAGGGACTGCCCGCCCACCAGCATTACTGGCTGTTGGGAATGAAACACCCAAAAGTTTTTTTTTTATTTTGGGTAATAACCCACCGGTCTGACTTTGGTGAGATAGAACTCGTAGAGCTATTAGTTAAGCCAGCATGCTAATCTAGGGGGACTTTTACCTTACAGCTTATAAAGCTAGTAGACATAAGAGAGGATCCCCCATATTGAAGATGTCCAGAGACCTTAGAAGTAGATTGGAGTAAATTGATACCGTACGCTCATGACTGCAATCGTTGATTGAGACTTTCTCATTCTCACACTTACGCAGAAACCATGACCGAAAGGTAGAAATCACCACGCTCAATAAACGTAAGGTCTAGAATGACTTTGGACTTGTAGCCCACTGAAGTACATTAGGGCTCACATATAAGACATATAGGGTGTAGAAGGCATCAACCTCATCTCTTCTATTATTAACTAGACAGACGAACCCAAGTCAGGCGTCTTTTTTCTTCCCCTTTTCACTTAACGACGTAATAACAATAACGCTAGAAGAACAAGTGATCAATAATTTGAACAACACAATTTTACTGCAGTGAGTTGGTTTAAGAAACTATATTCCAAAACTCGTATGACGGACACCGAATTTATTCTGCCTAGACAAGACAGTAAAAAATCTCGGACCAAAAAAATCCGCCGTTTGTGCAATTGTCCTTGTTTATAAAAGAAAAAAAACAACGTATGCGTTTTCAATATGTTTGGAAGCGACAACTATCCCTTGGCTAGCTGAAGCTCCTAAATCTTAGCTGAAATTGAGCCCAGATTTTTAACCCACGACTGGGCTTCTATACTAGTTGTGCATGTTTTGTATGGTTACAAAAATACCCGATTAATGTGCTTTAAGTGGACGTTTCATAAATAAGTGGTAAAAAACGAATGCCACGAATACTGTTGCATATTTGCCACAAAATAAATTTGAAAGTTTATCATATGAAGTGAAAATGAAAATAAAAGAACGTCAGAATTTTTGCAAGTAAAGATAATTCGTCATACACATGCTAAAAATGTACTTTTCTGTTTTCCTTGTACATCTATTGTTTAATTTCAATGAAAAATTTGTTGAAATGCTTACTCATTTGAAACAACAACGCGCCGACAGCATATAAAACATATTATTATGATTTTAAGAACAAACCAATAAGCACTTGGGGAAGTTCAAACTCTGGAGTAGTTTAATGTTAATATGATAAGTTTATTACTATTTTCATTTATGCTTGCAGAACACTTAAAATCAATGAGGATCAATGCGAATCAATCACCGCTGACATGCAAGGTAT